GGGGGGGGGGGGGGGACCAAGTTTCAGAGCTGCGCTGCCCCCTAGTGGAGGAGACAGATTCTAACTGGAGAAGTCCACTGAAAACCAGTGGGTTGCTTCTGCCCAGGCATTCCACCTGCCAGGCTTTTTCTCTGATCTCCTGGCTGCTGGGCGTGACTCAGAGAAGGGCTTCTTTGGGGCAGGGAGAGCAGGATTAGAGGCTGCAGGATTAGAGCACTCTCAATACCCTCCCTCCCAACCATGGAGCACTTGAATGGCCCACAACTGCGGAGATGCTACCTGGCAATTTGTGGTATGGGGTTGCTCCCTCTCCAGATCCCCTGTGTTGGCTTAGGTCATGGAGTCTCAAAGGCCTTGTGGCCGGTTCTTCTCGCTTATTTCATTTTAAAAAGCCAGGCAAAGTGTCTTCTGGATAGCATGATTAAAAGGAAGGGTATTGCCAGGTGGCCATTATGTTACATTAAAAGTCAAGCCTTTGTTTTAATCCAGCGGCCTGCTTCTCTTGCTCTCCCCGTAAGGCAGGGGTGTCCAATCTTGGGAACTTTAAGACAGCAGGGCAGTCTGGGGAATTCTGGGAGTTGAAGTCCACAACTCTTAAAGTTCCCAAGTTTGGACACCCCTGCAGTAAGGAATGTCCCGAAAAGATGATTACCTGCAAGGAGGAAGGCAAGGTGACAGCTCCCGTCCGCAGATTGGGGCCCAGGGTCTCCACCCGGAGGGCATCGGACTGCAGAGACCCCAGGGAAGCCTCAACGGGCTGAGGAGGGTCAACAGGAGGCAGCAGGATAGCGGAACCTGCAGGAAGGAAGGGGTGTAGAGGGATATGGGTTTCCAGTCTGCCTGCCATTCAGCCAGATCAGAGGTTAGCAACCTGCGACTCTGGAGCCACATGTGGCTCTTTCATACCTCTGTTGCGGCTCCCTGTCGCCGGTCAGCTGTACAGTTGATAGGGCTTTCAGTTAGGACAGGTAGAGGAAAAAGGATGCTGTGCTAGGAGGAGACTCTATAGTGGGGTGGGGGGAACCGGACTTCTGGTCAGCTTAAGAATTTAATGGGGGGCTTCCGGTTAGGACCTGTGTGGCTCTTTTGAGTGTTAGGTTGCCAGCCCGTGAATCAGACCCCCGCAGCCCTTCCGGGGCGGCACAAGGATGATGAAGATGGAAGAGACCATGCGCTTCTGCATTTTGTCCCTGAGCATCCCCACCTGAGGGAAAGGGGAAGGATGGCAGGCAAGCGGCAATTTCAGAGGGGCTCTCTCCCTCCAATGACACCCCCCCCCATCTCAGCGGAGAAAGCTGCAAAAGGGGTCAACGGGAAACAGAAGGGAGCTTCATCCCTGGAAGCAATCTGAACTACCTGTCAATGACTACTTCAGCTTCAACCACAACAACACAAACGCACACAATAGATACAAACTCAAGGTCAACCGCTCCAAACTCGATTGCAAAAAATACGACTTCAGCAACAGAGGGGTCAATGCCTGGAATGCTCTACTTGATTCTGTGGTTTTTTCCCCAAACTCCCCAAACTTTAACCTTAGACTGTCCACCGTTGATCTCACCCCATTCCTAAGAGGACTGTAAGGGGGCGTGCATAAGCGCACCAGCGTGCCTACCGTCCCTGTCCTTATGTTCCCTTGTATTCACATTCATTTCAGGTATTCCTATATATGTCTGTACTTATATCTGTTACCTAACTCATACTTGACCAAAATAAACAAATAAATAAAGATACAACTATAAATAATAGGGAGAATATCAACAATCAAGATGAACATAGTATCCAGGATTTTATATTTGCTCCAGACAATTCCAGTTGAATTGAATTGAATTGAATTGAATTGAA